GTGTGATGGAAGAGACGCCCCCCCCCCCCCCCGCCCCAAATTCTGACGCATGTAGCAGCTGAAAGGGAGAAAAAATCCTTTTTGGCCTTGTGTGGTAACAGCAAAACCAAGAAGCATGAGGAAATGCCCACAATTATAGCATAGGTATAGCAATGATAGCAAAAGTATAGCCTAGATCAGGGGCAGGCAATTATTTCAGGCAGAGGGCCGCTTACCCAGTTTTGGCAAGCTATCGAGGGCCGCATGGGTAGCCCCACCCCTTGACAGGTGCCCCACCCCCTGGTTACCATCTTGGGTCTGGTGTCCCAATGTCCCAGGGCCAGCACCGATGGAGCCCAGAGCAGGCCGCAGGCTGGCAGGGGTCTGTGGAGCTGGGCTGGACTATACCAGCAGGGAGAGGCAGGAACTGGCCCAGGTCCATAGAGCCCCTGCCAGCTGGGACCCTGGGTGGGCCCTGCTGTTGTGGGCTTCCCCTGGGTCCTACTGCCACTGGTTCCTGTCATCTTTGACAGGAACCAAGGACAGATGAATTTTAATTTTCAAAATTTTTTTAGGGGCCCTGCGAGCTGGATTTTGCCCACCCCTGGCCTAGATCATCCCTGACGAATGTTTATCAAACCTTTTCTTGTACACCTCCAGTGATGGATGTTCCACAGCTTCCCTAAGCAATCTGTTCCTCTGCCTCAATGTTCTACAGTGAAGAAGTTTTTCGTGATAACCACTCTAATATATTCTGCTCTTTGCAGCAAGAGAGAAAAAGTTATTTTCCCTCTTCTTTATGGCATCCCTTCAGGTATTTGAAGGAAGTGCCTTTTCCACAAGTTGAATGCATCTATTTCCAGATTAAATCAACAGTGTTTCTCTACCTGTTGTTGATGTCGCATTACCTGCTTGCGTGTGTTAAAAGAAAAAAAACCCCACAATGCGCTTTACTGGAAGAAGCAACATGTTTCTTCGACCTGGCTCTTCAGCATCTGTATAGATCGGGTGCTTCAGTGGGGCTTTTTGTCACTTTTATCTAAAGCTGAGTCAATTAGCTATTAGATAAGTGTAAAAAAAAACCCCACTAAAGTGCCCGATCTATACAGACATCGGGGGAGCTGGGCCAGCTAATGCATTGCCTCTTCTGTGAATGCTCTGTGCTCAGCGTAGGAGTGTGCCTAGTTTTAAAGTAAAGCACTGGTTTTTTGTTTTTGTTTTTCTTAACGTCTGCAAGCAGCCTTAAAGTTTTTCCACCAAATAAACTCAATGGCTTATTTCTATTAGGATTGCTAATAGCTAACCCATTAGTCAAGAACAAAACATGCTAAATCACTTGATTCCCCTTTTTAACTGGGTAACTATTTGTCAAATGAGGAAAATTGTAGAGTTGTAATTGATGGGATGGCCTCATCTTTGAGGGCCTTCTCCAGTGGTGTCCCCCAGGGATCTGTGCTTGGACCCGTGTCTTTAACATATTTATTAATGATTTGGATTAGGGAGTGGAAAGCTCAATGATTAAGTCTGTGGATGATACTAAACTGTGGGGAAATGTGGGCACATTAGAGGATGGGGTAAAGATCCAGAATGAACTTGACAGACTGGTTTTATGGGTAGAACAGAAGCAGATGAGATTTAACAGGGAGAGGTGCAGGGTTCTTCATCTGGGCAGGAAGAACCTTCACCATAACTACACAATGGGTGATGGTCCACTGGCTGGCACCGCACCTGAACAAGACCTCTGGGGGTCACAATCGACTGAAAGATGAGAATGAGCCAACAGTGTGATGAAGTTGCCAGCAGGGCAGATAAAACTCTGGTGTGCATCAGCTGATGTGTTGCCAGTAGATCCAGGGAAGTGTTTCTCCCTCTCTCTTCAGCATTGGTGAGACCACATCTGGAGTAGTGTGTCCAGTTCTGGGCATCGCACTTCAAGAAGGATGTGGACAAGTTTGAGAGGGTACAAAGAAGGGCCACCTGTATGATATGGGGCATGGAGGATAGGCCCTGTGAGGAGAGATTTGGGGAACTGGGCCTATTCAGTCTGAATAAGAGAAGGCTGAAAGGTGACTTGATAGCCACCTACAAGTATGTCAGGGGTGAGCATCAAGATCTAGGGGAGCAACTCTTCAGGAAGGCAACTCAAGGGAGGATGAGGACCAATGGGCACAAGCTAATAGAGAGTAAATTTAGGCTGGACATAAGAAAACACTTTCTCTGTAAGGGTCACCAGAATCTGGAACACACTCCCAGCAGAGGTGATGCAGTTGCCATCCTTGGAGGTGTTCAAGATGAGGCTGGACAAGCATCTTGTTGAGTTCATCTGAGTCAAAGCTTCCTGCCCATTGCAGGGGACCAGACTTGATCTTGCAGGTCCCTTCCAGTCTTTCGATTCTATGCTTCTATGAAATGTTGTGCATGTTACCTATCATATTTACCACAATCCAAGATGATGCTGAATTTAAGATGACACCCCCAATAATTAGATTCTTTACATGGGAAAATTATAAATTTGTTACAATTTGCCGTGTAGAGAGAGAATCCAGTTATTGGAAAGTTATCTTAAATTTATTCTCCTACCTCTGCAGCTGGGAAAGCAGTAGCAGGGGGGCAGGAGGCGAACAGTCTGACCCCTGTCCCTCTTCCCCTGCTGACCCCTCATCCCCTTGTCCCCTTACCTCTGCCCCCCATCCCTGCCTGCAGCCTTGGATTCCCATGCTTCCTGTTTCCTCTGTCCCCCACCCCGCACCACCAGTTACCCTGGCTCTAGACCTGCTCCAGCCTGGGGCATAGAGCACAATTGCTTTGGCCCTAGTGTGGGCATCTATCTGGAGCTGCCCCCATTGCTGTTGGGCAGGGGCTGCAGTGATGGAAACATATTCAAAACATGGGAGGTGGCAGTAGCAGTTCACTTGACGCTTACATAAATATGATGTGCAGTACCGTGTCTATTTTGAGGCACAGAATTTTTAAGACATAGAAATGAAGAGAGTCTAGAAGCAAATAACAAAGAAGATGAAGTGATTGAAAACCAAGCTGTATGAGGCAAAAAAAGGGAAAAAATATATATTTATTTTTGATGACAAGGAGATTAATCAGAGACATGATTGTACCTTTTAAATATTTGAAAGGCTGCCATAAAGGAAATAGTCTTGCTACAAAGACTCCTGTTAGCTTCAGTGGGCTCTGGGTCCAGGTTTAATCTGTGTTAGTGATCAAGGAGAATCACTATAGCAGTGGTTCCCTGTGGTGGCAGTAGGAGATGCTACTAGAAGATAATCCACAGTTTGAAACATGTTCAGAATCAAATAGTGAAAGAATTGGTATTGTGAGGGTGGGTAGTCTGGGAGATGATATTTTTCTTGTGGAAGTAGGCCACAAAATTGAAAAATGGGAGAGCCACTGTGTTGTTTGTTACATGAATTAATCCTTTAAAAAGGATTACTGTTGTTTAACATCAATTACTTTGTATATGATTTTAATCTACGCATTTAATATAGGTGTTTGTGTTTTGTTTTGTTTTTACTTACTTCACAGGCATACAGGAGTTTCCAGAAAATATCAAAAACTGTAAAGTTTTGACAATTGTTGAGGCCAGCGTAAACCCTATTTCAAAGTAAGTCAATTATTCTGATGACAGAACCTGAGCATTCTTATTGGTCATTACCTAGTGATATGCACAGAGCTGATAGTGCTTCCTATAATTAAGGTTGCGCAGATGTTCCTGTTTTGAAGTTCATTTGTTTAGAATTTTTCACGATGGGATCTGTCTCGGGCTGAGTTTGTTTAAAATTTCAGCCCAAAAAAAAAATTCAACCACTTTGGAGAGCTACATTAGAGAAACTTTTCTTTTATTTTGACAATGTTATATGTCTGTTCCATTTAGAAACTATAATGTACCATGCTTTAGAACAGGGACATTACATTTGGCAAGGGGAGTTTGTTGTAGGGGACAATGTCCTTTACTGGTCCTGTGAAAATTCACCTAAATTTATTGATGGTATAAAGCAGTCTTAAACTATCCTTTTTTACCTGAGCAAATTTCAGTGCAAATTTACCAGAAGAACTCTTTTTTGCATTACTCCTCCACGATTGATAAGATTCAGGCTCACTCTCTACACTTTTTCCACTTTCTAGGGAAAAAGAAGTGGGGGAGGCAGTTCTGTTGGAGGTGTATCTTCCCTTGTGGGTTGCAGTGTGATAACAGGTCATTCAGACAGACTGAACAAGGGTCTTGAAACTGATCCTAAAGATAGGACAGAGGCTGCCTCCGGATGTTGCAGTCCTGGCGTAGTGTCGGTTGCTGTTTTCTCAACGGAGGGCCCCAGATGTTATATCCCTCCCTGGAGATTGACAGGTGGCCACCTGTCAATCTCCAGGGAAGGGTGGGACTTCTGGTGGCCCTTGGCCAATCAGGTGTGGGAGGGCCCAATGTGCTCTGCCATGAAAACCTCACCCCCATCCCTCCCTCTCTTCCTCTTCCCCACCCCCGTGCTTCAGGGCGCTAGGGCTTCCCTCCTCTGTTTGCTGGCTTTCCCATTTTTTCATGGTTCCTATACTTTTTCACAGGGGACCTACCAAATTCATGGTTTCCTTAGAAAATGTGAAATCATGAATTTGGTAGGTCCTTATCTGTAGATAATGAATAACCAAAAAATTTAGTTTAAGACAGCTTCATTGAAATGCTGCTTCAACCTTAACTTTAACAATTATTCATAACAATGTGCAGTCAAAACATATTACCTAGTAACACATCTTAATGGCCTAAACCACACTGAAACAAAAAGCATTGCATAACTTTTTCTTTGTTTGTTTATGTAGGCTTCCAGATGGATTTTCCCAACTGTTAAATCTAACACAGCTGTACCTGAATGATGCTTTCCTTGAGTTTTTGCCGGCCAATTTTGGCAGGTAAGTTGAATTTATGACTAAAAGATTAGTATTAGTTTTTACTCTAACTTCGCAGAGCAAACTTTGCTGTGTCTCAAACAAAATAGGGAAAATCACTAATGCCTTTTTCATATGCATCGATTAATTTAAAGAAACCACCACTGTTGTCTTTGGGTTTTTTGCCTGTTCTTCTGTACTTAAAAAGCTTTGTAAACGTAATAGCGTAAAAAGAAAACTTTAGATGCTTGTTTTTCATGAGGCGCAAGGCTTTTTATGCATGGGGAAACTGGTTTTGCTGAAATGGGGTAGTTATCATTTGGAGGCCAAAGTAGAGCAAATCAGTAATTTAATCTTTAATAATTCTATTTATAAATATTTTGTTCTCTCTCAGATATGTAAATGTCTTTAAAATAAAATTACTCCATATCATAATTTAACATAAAGTGGGCACTCAGTGGAAGGCAAGAACAGTAATCTGTTTACTGAACATCTGTGACCCACAGTTTTAGGACTCCTGGCTAAGATCTATCCAGGTAAATAGACATTCCTTGTAGTCATTTAAAAAAAAAAACCCCAAATACGCAGCACATTATTTATTGTGATTACCAAATAGATTGAGGGACTGTTTGTTCTCCTTTACTATGTTCTTAGATTCATAGATTGTAAGGGGCCGGAAGGGACCTTAGAAGATCATTGGGTCCAGCCCCCTACACCAAGCAGGAAAGATAACTGAGAGTCAGGTGACCCCAGCAAGGTGACTGTCTAGTCTCCTCTTGAAGATTTGCAGCGTAGGTGATTGCACTACCTCTGGAGGGAGCTTATTCCACAGTCTGGACACCCTGTCTGTGAAGAAGTTTTTCCTAATGTTGAGTCTGAATTGATCTTCCAGAAGTTTGTGGCTATTACTCCTGGTTTTCCCCTTGGATGCCCTGGTGAACAGTTGCCCACCGAGCCCTTGATGTACTCCCATAGTGTAGCGGTAAGCTGCTACCAGATTCCATCTCAGCCTTCTTTTGCTCAGGCCGAAGAGTCCCAGATCCTTCAGCCTTTCCTCGTATGACTTGCCTTTTAAGACTCTGATCATACGGGTGGTTCTTCTTGGGACTCCCACAAGCTTGTCCATGTCCTTGTTAAAATGAGGTGCCCAGAACTGGATGCAGTACTCCAGCTGCGGTCTCACCAGTGCTGTGTAGAGTAGAAGAATCACCTACTTGGCTTTGCTGGAGATGCATCGATTTGATGCATGCCGGAGTATTGTTTGCCCTATTGGCTACAGCATCACACTGCCAACTCATCTTCATACTGTGGTCTATTATTACCCCCAGGTTCCTTTCATTCGTGGTGCTAGTCAGTTTGGTGCCGCAAAGCCTGTAGGTGTGTTGAGGGCTGGGTGTCCTGAGGTGGAGCACTTTACATTTCTCAACGTTGAACTTCATCAGGTTCCAATCTACCTAACTTGGTAGCCTGTCTAGGTCCGCCTGTGACTGTAGCCTATCTTCAAGCATGACCATGCTTCCCCATAACTTGGTGCTGTCTGTGAATTTGGCCAGTGAGCTCTTCACCCCCGCATCCAAATCGTTAATAAAGACATTGAAAAGTACTGGACCAAGCACCAACCCCTGCAGGACACCACTGCCCACTTTTCACCAGGATGACACAGATCCGTTCACTACGACTCTGGGCCCTATCCTGCAGCCAGTTTCTCACCCACCTGACTGTCTCAGAGTTAAGCCCACAATCCTCCAATTTTCTCACGAGGACATCATAGGATACTAGATCAACGGCCGTTTGGAAGTCTAGGTATACAATGTCAATCTGCTGTTTTCTGTCCAGGTGGCGAGTTACCTGGTCATAGAAGGCGATGAGGTTGGTAAGGCAAGACCTGCCCGCGACAAAGCCATGCTGGCCATCATTCAGAATCTTACCTTCTGTAAGCTTATTGCAGATAGACTCCTTGATGAATTTTTCTAGGATTTTCCCCAGGATGGAAGTTAGGCTGATTGGCCTATAGCTACCTGGGTCCTCCCTCCTGCCCTTCTTGTGGATGGGCACAACATTGGCCCTTTTGCAGTCCTTAGGGACTTCTCCAGAGTGTCATGAATTGTGGAAGAGTTTTGCTAGGGGTCCCTCAATGACTTCGGCCAGCTCCTTCAGCACTCTTGGATGAAGATCATCTGGTCCTGCTGACTTGTATACACCTAATTTTATTAATTGGTCAAACACCGATTCTATGGCAATAGTAAGAAAGTGATTATTCCTACCATGCTCATCCTCTACTTTATCTGGCATGGTTTTCCCCTTGGTCTGGTGAAAGATTGAGGCAAAGTAGTAATTCAGGAGTTCAGCTTTCTCCAGGGTGCTGGTAACCAACTCTCCCGAGTTGAGCAATGGCCCCACACTCCCATTTGTTTTTCTCCTGTTCCCTATATACCTAAAGACGGATTTCTTGTTGTCCTTGATTCCCGTTGTTAATCTAAGTTCAGTCGCCGCTTTAGCCTTTCTTATCCATTCCTTGCAAATGCGGGCTGTCGTGGAATAGTCCTCCTTGGGGCCCCCCCCAAACTTCCATTGCTTATAAGCATCTTTCTTCTTCTTTAAAAGGACCGTGATTTCCCTGTTTAGCCAAGAGGGCTTCACAGCCCTTCTGTTACCTTTTCTCCATATGGGAATGGACTTTGTGCTTCAAGGATCGTGTTCTGAAGGAAAAACTACTCTTCGTGAATACCTTTCGCATTCAGTCCCTGGTCCTGCAGCGCTTGCCCTACTAGTGACCTAAGCTTGTTGAAATTTGCAGTCCTGCTATCCGATTAGTCTGCCTTATGTCAGACAGTGAACATGATGGTTTCATGGTCGCTGTTGCCCAGACTTCCCTCTATATTTAAGTTGGTCACCAGGTCATCTCCTTTGGCCAGGACCAAATCTAGCAGAGCATTGCCTCTGGTTGGTTGTTTCTTAGAAGTGAACTATGGAGGTGTTTTCTAGGAAATGCACCCAAGATCTGACTGCTCTCTCTGACATCTGGTATATTTATTCTTCATGATGCAGAAAATCTCCGTTTCATACATTTGCATTAAGCAGAAATATTTGGGAAATGTATTCTCTTTTTCTTGAACTTGTGAATAGATGTCTTAGGGATAGTTTTTAAGACATTTTGATTAGAATAACTATGTTGGCAACATTTTAAATAAGAACTTAAGAATGCATTCAGCAGAAAAATGATAATTTCCTGGCTTTCTTCTGCTCACATGGAGAGAGAGTTAAGATTGGAAATATTTGTCTAGCAACTTTTAGAAAAATAGAGTGCCATTTTGCATTTTCTAAGAGCAGACTTGTTCTAAATGATATGTCCATGTTAATTCTGTTTGAAAGGGAAGTAAATGAATACTTTTGTCAGTTGTAAGTTAATCTTTAATTAAAGAATTACTTCCTTCAGAGTTGTTGTTTTTTTGAGCTGACAATTTGCTTGGTGCTAAATTGGGTATCCTTATACTAAACTCTTAAGCATATCATATTTAAACTAATATGAAGTATTTTTATTCATGCTGTAGGAGAAATGCAGACTAAGCAAGTACACAAGAGATAAGTTTTTCAAGGCTCCCTCAGAATTGTTTGCTCTCTGAATTCCCATTACAATCAGTTTGGTACATATAGAAAATTATAACCTGATTAATGCTAGGCAAATGGAGAACTGTAGTCATGACTGTTGATTGTCTAAGAATTACTCTCACCATGTCTTGTTTCTTACCTCCATCTCCACTACCTTAGCCCAACATGCTTGTTTCAGCTACTACTGTGATTTTGACCAGGACTGTTCAAATTCTAAGCCCCCAGAGGGCACATCAGATGCACAGCACATAGTTCCCCCCTGTGGGTGCCTAATGCCACACTGCATCCAACCCTGATTTCCCTCCAGGGGGTGTCCCCAGTTCACCTTCAGCACTCTGTGTTGCTGCGTTGCTCTGACCACTGGAACAAAGGCAGGAAAAGATAGCTGGAAGAGGGAGAGAGGGACTCCAGCTACTATTGCAGCTAGAGTAATGGGGGAACAGTGGCTGGGTGAGAACCTAAAAGGGCGGGGGGAAAGCGTTTGTTAGCCATTCTTGGGCTGCATGCAGCCTGTGGGCTGCCAGTTGAACAACACTGACTTGGATAGTAAACTTTTTAGTTCAGAAACTGTCATTGATCATTCTTGTACCTGACTTGGTTGATAATGCAATATAAAAATGTAATAATAGTACAATAGAAAGTAGTAATAATAAAAAAAAAAAAATCAATATTGGGATGCAAATCCTGTAAGAGCTGTGAAAGGTTGACCCGTTGCTCTGTCTACCTGCCTGCCTGCCTACCTACCTACCTACCTACCTATATTAATTTAACACACCTCTAAGTATTAGGCTGATGGAGCCAAACTGGAATTAAGAGACCCAATACAGTCAATTGCTATTTTTTAAACTGGTTTAAAATGCTAAATTTAGAGCAAAATTTGCTGATTATTAATGTGCTTGTTGTTTAGTTACTCTGGAAATTGATCTTGTGCAGAAATAGCATTTTGGAGAAAATTTAGAAACTGCAAAGCAAGTGAATCTTTTGTAACAATATTAGTTGCATATTTTAGAATATTAGAAATTAGACCTAGAATAAGCTAGATCTAAAACAAAAATCCTAACATGCACTTGCAAGTAGTTTTTTTGTTTCAGCTATATATTTAGCAGATTTACCTGGACCATCATCTCATCTCTTGTCTTTGTAATTGACTGGTGTGCTTTGTGAGGTTTTGTTAATTGAGCTGAGTTTTAGCTTGCTATTCATTTCAACATGGGAACGAAACAAAAGTGTGGAGTGATGTGATACCAGGTTAAACTGATCTGGAGCAGGGGATGTTGTTAATAGACACAGAACCCCAGTGGTGCTATCTTACTGGACCGTATGCCAAAGTACATCTTCTAAACCACAGCATTTCTGTCCTTTTCCATCAGGGTTTTGATCTTAATTCTTTAAGTAAAAACTGTATAAAACAAATG